AAGGAGGTGGATGACAGACAGATAGAGTGCAATTTTAGGTTCAAATGCCATTCTAGAGTCACTGATGTGAACACATCATCCCAAGCTTCTGGACAAGCAGGATTCCTCCTCACTTGTCCTATACCAGGACAGACTCTGTGAGGGGAGTCGAAGATAGGAACCAACAGGGCTTGGGTGTGAGGGGCCTAGAACCCCAGTTCTTTTCACTGTCCTAGTCCATTCCTATCCTTCCCTGTTTCTTTGTTATGCAACTGGGTTCAGTCCAGAATCCCTGCTACTTGAAAGATTAAAAATTAGAGTTACTTTTTACAATTGCTAACTGCTGATTTTGCTTTTGTAAACTTGCTTGAGCTAACACCAACCCCCTCCCTGGAAATAAGGAATTGGGTAGAGTCTCAGAGCCCAGATGTAGGCCCCAGGACAAGGTCTCTGGTCATAGATAAAGAACAGACAGTTTGTGTTTTCCAGTTCCTGTTTAGAAATTCCTCAGAGGGGACCTTGAGATAAGGACCAGAAACAGGAACAGAAAACTAGGCCAAATATCAACCAATCACAAGCCTGTAACTATGTGAACTCCCCTAACCCTTACTGTCCAAAGTAACCAACCCCCTTTGAGTCCCCCCACGCCAGTCCTTTTACAAAGAGTGTTACAAAATTTCCCGTGTAAAAAAAGAATGACTGCTGGGGTATACGGTGACCTTTAAACGGGCCAATCCTGGGACGCCTTGTATTAATCTTGTGGTCTTTGCTTTTAAAAATCCCTGTAACCGCTGCTCAGGGCTCTCTCCCTTCCCAAGGCAGAGAGTCCATTTGCACAAACGTCAAATAAACTCCTCTTGCTTGTTGCGTCTCCCGGTGTAGAGTATGAGTTTCTGGGGCACCCTCCCGTCGACGGAAATATCCTAGGGGGCTAGGGTCTTTCAGTGGGCGCTCGTCTGAGATACCTGCGACCCCAGACCCCAAATTCCAGGACCGGCAGGAGGTAAGATAGAACTCTTGTGTTTCTCCTCTTCTGTGTTTGTCACTTTCATTTTGCATTCTGGGATCCAAAAGTGCCTGTACAGGACCTGTATTCTGAATTTGGGCCAGTGGGGGAGGCAGACGTGCCCTGAAACCCCTGGTCCCCACCATGGAGTTCCACTTTCAGGTGGTTTGGAGGAAGGACGAGACCTGAGTGTCTCTCTGTACTGGGGAGTTAAGGGGCGACCGGCCACTCCCATCTGTAGTTTCCTTCCTCATCTGTAGTCGCTCAGCTGCCAGGCGGCGTTTGTCTGGTTCTGTCTGTCTCTGTTTAGTGTTACTTGTTTTTAGTGTGTGTTTTGTATTCTCTATAGAGATGGGACAACAAGTGAGTCCACTCCCAGGACACCCCTAGACCTTGTCCTAGTTCGTTTAAAAACAAAAACTGCTGGTTCTGCCTTTGTAACTTGCTTGTTTGTCAATTATGAAACTGCCACTGACCACCTGCAAGTGGCCCCAGTTAGATCTCAGCCTTGGGCCTTGGCTGGGGGGGAGGTGGGTCTGACCGTGGGGGAGAACCTGTCAGTCTGAGGAGACGGCCGCTAGGGATTATTTTCCCTTGCCCCAAGATGACTGGGGAATTCTCCTCCGCCTTGGAAGGCCCCTGAGTCAACGTTTGCAGGAATCTAAAAGAAAAATCCTCCGGAGGTGAGTAAGGGGGTTGAGTCTCCTGGTAAGTAAATGGTGGTGAGATGTCTCCCCATTAACTGAGACCTGATTTTGTCTTTGTGGCCACTTGTGTGTCTTGTTTACTTTGGTGTGTTTTCTGTTCTGTTTCCAGAGGTAGGGAAGTTTTGGGTGAGCATGGCAGGCTCATTCAGCAGACTCTGGAGTCAGCTTGCTGAGTGGGAGCAGCACAGAGTTTTGGTAGGGATAAACTGGGTCCCATTAGTCCCCAACTCAGCCTTTGGTTCTTGTCTAGTTCTGTTTTAGAATTGGTACCAGTTTTAAATGTGGATCCTTGGTTTTTATGTTTATCTGTGTTTTTGTTATTTATTTATTTGAACATCTCTGGGGAAATAGGAGTTCCAGCTGGGCTCGGTCACAGACCTGCTATGCCCACCCTCTCTGTGAGGCATGGAAGGTTACTGGGCTAGTTTGGTTCCCTTCAAGCCTCAGGCTGAATTTTCTTCTTGTGGAGGCTGCCGACAGGGAGGGTGTAGAAGGCTGTGTACCTGGTTTGGACTTTTTCAGCTATTCCTGACAATGTAACAATTTGTAAAGTGCTCTTGTCTAAAATTGGATAAAAAAAAATCTGGCCAGTTTAGTTTTAGGTGACCCCCTCCCCCAGCCCTCCTCCAATGGAAGGGATTCAAAAGACTAATTAGTGAATTGTCTTGCTAAACAAGCAAGCTCTGGGAAAATGAAGCCCAACAAAGTTACCAAGTTTAAAAGAAACACTGTCCTAAATTTTTGTTTAAGAACTTTAAAAGGTGTACGTACAACTGATTTTGATTTTTGTGCGCTTTAAGATCTGTGTGAGTGTTTTGTGTGTCTGTGAACATGTACAAAGATAAAAATTTTCAGCATGCTGTAACAATTGGGTGAGTTTAAATTTAAGATTCAAAAGGTTATGAGGTTTGGACATTAACAAAAATTTAAAAAAAATCTTCATAGTGTTTTAAATGACTTTTTAAGGATTCTTTAACTCGGAAAATAAAAAAAATCTGGTATAAAAAAACTAATATTTTAAAATGCATAAGACTGTTTATACTGTAATCAAGTTATCTGGCTTAACAAAAATGCATTAGCTGTTTGAAATTTAGTTCCCTTGGCTAAAATTTGGGGATAAATATTAAAAATTTAAATGTAAAGGTTAATTTAACACTGTCAAAGACTGTACCTGTTCTGTCTGCCTAAAACTGTGTATTTCATTCAAGAACCAACAGAAGACCTGTCTTTAGAGGTAAGGGGTGAACAGGCAGAAGTGCAGATCAACTCGTCATGCATGGTGGGACAAGTCCTGGGAGAAGTCCACGCATGATAAAAGAAGGTAAGCTGGCACAAACGCAGTTCATCTAACCCTAAAGAGTCAGATTGGGTGTGTGCCCATTCCATAGAAGGGGCTGAGTGGCCCATCTTTGTCCTCTCTTTTCCCTGCAGATAGACACTAAAAACATGATGGTTAAAATGAGTGATGTGATGATCTGATTAGTATTGCTAAAACTTCCCCTTGGATGTGTTAACATTAAAATTAGGAAGGCCTTAAAAAGAGGGTTAAAAAGTTATTTGTATAATGTGCCTTACTTTCAATTATGTTCTCCAATTAGGATGTTTTTAAAAGTTATAAAGGTGTTAAGTCTAGCTTCGTGGTATAGTGATGGTGACTGTAATTCTTGCATTAAGGAAAAATTGTCATTTAAGTTTAAAAGTTTTAATGTGTAAAAACAAGCAGCCAAGAGACAATGAGTGACACATGGCCTCAAGATTTTAAGAGGTTTTTTAAAACGCAGATAAAAACTAAAGTATAAAATATTAAAGGAGATTAATAAGAGGTTTTAAAAATAATTAAAAATGGATTTTTAGATATAAAGTTTAAATATAAAATTGTTCTTAACATTGGCCTCAAAGTGCACGAAAAAAAAATTAGGATTACCAAAATAATTGCTATTCTAGTTTGCTCTTATAGGTTTTTTTCTTTTTTAAGTTTCCAGCAAAGTCCAGAGCAAAGCACAGAGGATTCTTAAAAGTTTGTCAGATGTAACTTTGACTCTTAATAAGTTTCAGGTAAGAGCATGCTTAAAAGCTACTTCTATGTTGACCACCTTGTTGCTTTTAATTGGAATAAAATGGCCTTTTGTAAGACTCATTGATCTGCAAACTGGTTCAAAGCCAGCCCGGGCACAAAAAGGTTCCTGTGAGACTGTCACCTCTACTCAGCCAGCAGAGTACTGAAAGAGCAAGCAGAGTTGCTTTGGGACTCATAGTGGCAGAGTGCTAGCCTTGAGTTGTAGAGCTGAGGGACAGCACTCAGGCCCTGAGTTCAAGTCCAGCCACCAGCTAAGGGAAATGCCAATGAGGCATTTATCCAGTGTAGAGAAGACACTCCTGGGACAAGAGCAATGGAGAAGCATCCAGAGGCAGTAAGCCACTGCTTGGATGTCAGAAATGTCAGATCTTAGAGTCATTTGTGTATGGCCCTTCAAAACTGGTCAGAGCCTGGAGGTCATGGAAAGAGTTTGTAAGCATGCCTAATGTCCATGACTATCTACCTTGTAAGGGACAGGAACTTGCCAGTCCTCTGTGATAGTAGTAAAAAGCTAATGTTATAAAATATAGGGGATAGTTTAAATCTCAACCCCTTTATGTGCCAAAAGCTTTAATTGGCAGTAACTATTGAGCTGACATGAGCTACATGAAATTCATCTGCTCAGGAAAAAGTTTGTAAACCTGAGAGTCCATTGATCTCTTTCTAAAGGCCTACAAAGGTAACTTAGGCATTGTTAGGGTCACTAGAGATCACATTCCTAAGCCATCTAAAAGGATGTTTTTGCAAACCAGAGTGCTAAACAAACTACACTGCTGTAGCTGGAGAAAAGGTCTGTGCAGTTGTCAAAATATTGTTCTTAATGACATCTAACCCTGATAGCCTCTTTGTAAAATAGGCTAAGGTTATAGGTCCCTGGCTAGGTAGGATCAATGCCCCTGAAGTCAGCTTGAAGAAGTTATAGAAGATGGACCTTCACCCATCAACCCCCTTTTAAGATACAGAGTCTAGAGACAGTTTTAAAAAAATGAGGCAAACTAAATAAAATAATAATTTTTTTTAAAAAAGGCATAAAAAATAGTGTTAACAGCTGTGCAAGTGTTGAGACTGCATCTGTCAGAGATGGTTACAAGACTAAGCCTTCTGTGCCTGTTTACAAAAATATCTGGTTAGTAAAAAAAAAGTTGTAATTTTGGTAAATTGTCCTGGGCTATTGTTTAAAGGTCTGAAAAACCAGCGGAATCAAAGCCTGCCAAGCCTACGTATTACTTGCATCCTTAACCAGTCTGTGTAGGAATTTACAGCCCAGCATGAAGTGTGACAGTTCTTTGGAGCCACTGAGAGTTCCTGCTGCTGCTGTACACCCTAATGGGTAAAGTTCAACGATGGCCTGACAGTCACCTGGAGGAACTCCTGCCTGATTCCATCACCTAAGTTTGCTTCCTGGTTGACAGCTGCTAAATCTAAGATCTTGTGGGACATTCCTTTGGGTGATATCCAGAAATTCTCTCTATTCCCACAGTGGATACTGGGGACAAGGATATCACTGGTTTGCTTACCTTAGGCACTTCCATGCATAGTGACTGGAAATCCACTCTATAGTCACAGCCTAGTTTGGCTCTGGTATGGTAATAACCTGAGTGTGTTATCAATGGAAGTAGTACTCTTAGCCTGAACTTCTGCATCACAGTGGTGCCTTAAGGCTGTTCTAAGATAAAGGTTCCACAAGCCAAAGGAGGGAATGGCGCCCTGCAACTCATTCAAAATCAAGTGTGGAGACCTCTGGCAACAGCCTACGCAGCCAGGAACTCCACCATCCCATACCCCTTCCAGATCGGCGATGAGGTGTATGTGAGGAGACATCAGTCCAGGACCCTCGAGCCTTGCTGGAAAGGCGCGTATACCATACTACTGACCATCCCCACAGCATTAAAGGTGGACAGGATTGTGGCCTGGATTCACGCCTCCCACGTTAAACGTGCACCACCCGAGGTCAACAAGAATCCCACAGCATCGCCCAGATGGAAGCTGCAGTGTATTCAAAATCCTCTCAAGATAAGACTCTTAAAAACTGCTTAATGTTTTTTTTTCTATCGTGGCTTTGACCATAACAGAAGGACGCAGTGTCCATCCCCTGGCAGGCATAAACCCACACTTTCCCCAAAACCAGACGTGACAAGTAGTGACTGGGCAGAGGGCCGTAATATGGTCTACCTCTACCATAGGCCCCCTGTGGACTTGGTGGCCAGATTTGTATCCAGACCTTTGCAAGGTAGCACTGGGAGAGCATGGCTACTGGGACCTAGGGCAGTATTTTGACCCGGTCAAACTCCCTCGGGCCCTACCCCTGAAAACAAAATGGGGGGCTGCGGGGGAGCAGAAGGTGGGAGTGACCTAAGATCCCACTCAATATAAGTTTGTCTCGAATATCATGGGGACCGCTCCACCAACTGCTGCGGGGGAAGGAGTGACTACTTTTGTAAGGCTTGGGGCTGCGAGACCACAGGTGACAACTATTGGAAGCCTTCCTCCTCTTGGGATTACATAACTGTAAAGGCAAACTACACACACCCTCCTCTGTGGGATCCATCCATCCACAAATCCAAGGGGCCTGACAAGGTGAATCCTACGCTCCTTAACGAGTGCCAAGCTTGGTGTAACCCCCTCAAAGTACAATTTACCTCTAAGGAAAAAAGACCGAATGTGGGATGGGTCACTGGTTTTTCTTGGGGCATCAGGTTGTACAAGGACTTACACGATGATGGGTTTCTCATGATCATCCAGCTACGAGACCCCCGCACCCATACTTTTAAGGCCAAATCTGGTGCTGGGAGAATGAGGTTCCCTCAAAATGAGACCCGTGTTAAAAAAAAAATGATTGCTGGGGTATATGGTGACCTTTAAATGGGCCAATCCCGGGATGCCTTGTGTTAATCTTGTGGTCTTTGCTTTTAAAAATCCGTGTAACTGCTACTCTGGGCTCTCTCCCTTCCCAAGGCAGAGAGTCCATTTGTGCAAACATCAAATAAACTCCTCTTGCTTGTTGCATCTCCCGGTCTGGAGTCTGAGTTTCTGGGGCACCCTCCCATTCGATGGAAGTATCCCAGGGGGATAGGGTCTTTCACTCCTAAGGTGATCCCTTACCCAGAGTGTGGAACCTGGGGTCTCTCCTGCAGGTGCGCTTCTCCAGTGGCAGTAACACAAGTGCTGGCCTCTTCTCTCAGGATGTGCATTGCAGGGCGGGTCGTTTCTGAGATGCACATGGGCACTTCAGAGCTGCATAGGTCTCCTTAGATAGGGGTCCAGGAGGGCGGCAGCTGAGGTCGTATCCCGCGGGAGCAGTGATTTTCCCTTCACCTGGTGTGGCAAGCCAAGTTCTCAGTAAACTTTTTCTTTTCCCCAATGTGTCAATTATCAAGACACTTTTCACTTTCGTCTGGGTGCTTCTCCAGGGGGCAGGGGAGTGATGCAGTCGCTTACCGCTCCTGGATCCCAGTAGGCCAGCAGGAGACACTAAGGCCTAACTTGAGATGACTGTCTGTAAACAACCATAGCGATGTGTGAGCCATGTGTCCCCAAAGTTTCTAACCCAAAGTGTCACTTTCCTTTTTTTCCCCCCTTTCTGAGACTTGAACTCAGGGCTTGGGCACTGTTCCTGAGTTGCTTTGCTAAAGGCTAGCACTCTACCATTGGCGCCACAGCACCACTTCTGGCTTTTTCTATGTATGTGCTGCTGAGGAATTGAACCTAGGGCTTCATGCATGCTAGGCAAGCACTCTACCACTGAGTCACCTTCCCAGCCCTCCTCATCTCAGTCTCATTTTCTTTTATCATCATATATTCTATTAGCCTTTTCTTTTATCATCATATATTCTGTTAGAAAACAAAAATGGAACCCTGTACTGATGCAATCTCAGGAGCCTGATATCAGAGAATCAAGGTTCAAAGCCAGCCTGGTGAAGAAAGCACATGAAATTCTTATCTCCAATTCTTATCTCCACTCTCTGGTGGTAGAGTGCTAGCCTGGAATAAAAGAGCTCAGCAACAGCATCCAGGCCCAGAGTTCAAACCCCTGGCCTGGCACAAAAAAGAAATGAAATAGAATGAGACATTCCTGTACAGGAGTTTCTTTGGCAATAATGGCCATTTTTTTCTAAAATTGTTTTCATCCCTAGAGACCCCATTTAGAGATTAGAGGTAAGCATTTCATGCATATTCCTGAAAGCAGGGTGATGAGTGATCTCTTTTCATGCCAGGTCGTTTCTGAGGAGATAGCTTCATTCACTAATTCCCTACTCATTTTCATCGTTATCAGTGGTGATTTTGAAGCAGAAATTTGTCACTGTGCTCAGGAGAGGATCAGCAGTGACTCCTCACCCTGGGTTTCTGGTCTACCTCATTGCATGTGACTCCATTCCTCACCTGGACCCTTCTGGTCTTGCTAACAATTCCTCTGCCCTGTTCTTGTCTGTTTCAAGAACATGCATTTGCCTTTCTGTGTCTGACTTCTTACATTTTCCACAGCGATCTGTAGTTCTACAGATGTGGCAGCAAATGACATGATTTCCTTCTTTTTCCTGGCCTAATCATACTTTATGATGGAAATAGGCTACATCTTCTTCTTCTTCTTCTTTTTTTTTGGTGAAACATCTTTTTCTTAAACAGCAAAGCAGAAATGCAACACAATTTTAAATATTTGTAAAATTGAATCACAAAAGGGATTCAAAATGTTTGCAGTATGACTATTACCTCTTCACATATTTAAAGTCATTTATGATCATATACTAACACATAAGATTATCCAATGATTATCGTAGTTGAAATCTATTAACCGTAAGCTATATTAATGGATCTTGTTTCCTAGTATAATATCTTAATATTACTTCTGATATTTGTTCAGAGCCAACACTAAAGCTCTAAGGTCATCTTGACCCCTATGCTCAGTTGAAGGCACGTACAAGGAGCTGGCTTACTTAAAAAACACCTGGTGCCCAGGATTGCTTTTCTATGTCTGCAGAGTTTGTTTTACTTTCTACCAGTTGACATTGTCTTGTTTTACTGCGCTTTGTTTTTATTGAAATTTTCCTTGCTTTTCTGGACTATTGTAACCATATGTTACCTCTTGACTTCAAATAGTATATATTAGGGAAAGTTAAAAATAAACGTTGCTCCAGTCTTGAGCTGCAGACCTCCAGACCCCATCTTTGTCTTATGTCTTTATTTTACCTCATCCTCACCCCCTAATTCAGGATTCCCTTTTGTTGCTGGCTGGCTCCGGCAAGTGGCGCCCGATCAGGGACCTGAACACCTGGAATCATGGCAGAGGACCGAGCCAAGGTAAGAGGACGCCTCCGGAAAAAGACAGCGGTTGAAAGTATAGTTGTGAGTAAGAAATTATGGGGCAAGTTAAGATCCGCACATTATATATGTGCAGGCTCTTAAGGGCATGCTTCAAGCTGGAGGAGTGAAAGTTGGACAGAGTCAGTTAGTTTCCTTTGTTTTGTCAAAGAAGTATGCCCCTGGTTCCTGGAGGAAGCAACCATTAGTTTAGAAACTTAGCAAAAAAAAAAAAAAAGGAAAAAAGGATTCAGGGACACTATGATGCAAATGGCGTGTAAGTTAAAACATTGCTGCTTTGTAATTGTCTGGTATCTGTGTAGCCTGCAGGTTCTGTATTGGGGTGGCAAGAGTCTTGGCGGACATGCTATAAGACAGCCAACTTGGCCGGTGGGAGCCATCCCCTGGATCCCCATCAAGGTAAACTTATACCTAGTGCGGAAATATGGGCCCGTCTGTACTCCGGCACTTTCTGTCTGACAGTCTATAACATGCATGTTGTAAATGTGTTTTGTCTCAATGTTTGTGTGTATGTATTTTGGAATTCTTGGAATGTTTCTTCTCTCAGATTCATCCTGATGTGAGAGCCCGGAGGAGGCTGGCTAACACCCCCTTTTAATATCTGTTTCTCAAAGGAGGAGGCTGCAATGCTTGCTAAGAAATGTACGCATTAACCTGTCCATGTGATTGTAACCCCTCTGTACAGTATGTTCACAAAAAATAAAAATTAAAAATTAAAAAAATAATATCTGTTTCTGTCTAGCTCCTTTTTTTTTACTTACGCTTTAAACTGACCCCCCTTTCTATCTTTCACTGCCACCTCCTCCACCCTCTCTGGATCCAGAAGTAGGTCAGTGGTGGGGGTGAAAAACCTGGAGGATCTAACAATAACTTGAAAGGGCCGGCAGGGAGAACTTGCAGCCATATGAAAATGCCACTGACCACCTGCAAGTGACACCAACAAGATCTTAGCCTCAGGCCTTGGCCCAGGGGGTCTGAGTTTGGGGGAGAACCTGTCAGTCTGAGGGGACGGCCGCTAGGGACTTCTTTCCCTTGCCCCAAGATGTCTAGGAATTTTCCTCAACCTTGGAAGGTCCCTGGGTCAATGTTTGCAGAAATCTAAAAGAAAAAATCCTCCAGAGGTGAGTAGAGGAGGTGCCAGTCCCCTGGTAAGTGGATTTGATTCCCAATTGTGAATGGTGGTGAGATGTTGCCCCATTCACTGAGACCCGATTTTGTCTTTGCGGCCACTTGTCTGTCTTGTTTACTTCAGTGTGTTTTCTGTTATGTTTTCTGAGGTAGGGATAAACTGGGGGCCCATTAGCCCCCAACTCAGCTTGATTGTTGTATTGTCTATTTCTGTTCTAG